ACCCCAGTGTGTAGTGCTCCCCTCCCTTTGTCCATGTGCTTCTTTCTTCTTTTTCTTTCTTTCTTTTTTTTTGAAACAGGGTCTTACCTTGTCATCCAGCCTGGAGTGTAGTGGCACAATCACAGCTCACTGTAGCCTCGACCTCCCAGGCTCAAGCGATCCTCCCAGCTCAAGCTCTAGGACTACAGGTGTGGGTCTCACCATATTGTCAGGCTGGTCTTGAACTCCTGGCTCAAACGATCCTCCCGCCTTGGCCTCCCGAAGTGCTGGGATTACAGGTGTAAGCCACCACACCTGGCCTATATGTAGCTTTTGAGAAACCTCCAAACTGTTCTCCATAGCGGTTGTACTAATTTACATTTCTAACAACAGTGTACGAGGGTTTCCTTTCCTCCACATCCTCACCAGCATTTGTTATTGCCTGTCTTGTGAATAAAAGCTAGTTTAACTGAAGTGAGATGATACTTCACTGTAGTTTTGGTTTGCATTTCTCTGGTGATCAATGACGTTGAACACCTTTTCATATGCCTGTTTGCCATTTGTATGTCTCCTTTTGAGAAATGTCTATTCAGATCTTTTGCCCATTTTAAAATCAGATTATTAGATGTTTTTCCTATAGAGTGGTTTGAGCTCCTTATATATTTTGGTTATTAATCCCTTGTCAGATAGATAATCTGCAAATATTTTCACCCATTCTGTGAATTGTTCTCTTCACCATGTTGATGCTTTCCTTTGCTATGCAGAAGTTTTTTAACTTGATGTGAGCCCTCCCATTTGTTTATTTTTGCCTAATTGTCTGTGCTTGTGGGGTAGTATTCGAGAAATCTTTGCCCAGCCCACTGTTGGGGAGAGTTTCCCCAGTGTTTTCTTTTAGTAGTTTCATAGTTTTAGGTTTTAGATATATATATTTAATCCATTTTGATTTGATTTTTGTATGTGGTGAGAGATAGGGGTCTAGTTTCATTCTTTTGCATATGGATAGCCAGTTTTCCCAGCATCATTTATAGAAGACGGTTCTTTTCCCAATGTATGTTCTTGACACATTTGTCGAAAATGAGTTCACTGTAGATGTATGGATTTGTTTCTGGTTCTCTATTCTGTTCCATTTGTTTATGTGTCTGTTTTTAATGCCAGTGCCACGTAGTTTTGGTTACCTTAGCTTTGTAGTATAATTTGTCCATTTCTTGACTTTCTCAATTGCCTTTAAGAAAATATCCGATTCCTTAGTATAACAGACAGGATCCTTCAAATATAGTCACCTGTCCATTTCATTTCCTGACATGATTTCTGTCTTTGTTTGTTTTGTGCTGCTATAACAGAATACCTGAAATTGGATAACTTACAAAGAATAGGAATTTGTATTCTCACAGTTCTGAAGGCTGGGAAGTCCAAGATCAAGGAACCAGCATGTTGGGTTGTTGGTGAGGGCTGCCTCCTCTGAAGGTAAATAATTCTGTGTCCTCACATGATAGAAGGTGGCAGGGCAAGCAAACTGAATGCTCTGTGAAGCCTCTTTTTTTCCCCCACCCAGAAAATGTTATGGGCAATTTTTTTTTTTGGAACGGGTAGGAAAAGAAAGTGGAGGGGGTGGAGGAGGAGGAGAAAAGAGTTTTTTAAAAGCCTCTTTTCTCCTTTCTGAGGGCCTTAAACCTGTTCATGAGGGAGAAGCCCTTGTGGCCTAATCACCTCTTAAAAGACCCATCTCTTGATATTATCACAAAGGCGACACCTGAATTTTAGAAGGGATGCATTCAAACCATAGCAGGTTCTTATGTACTTTATATTCCAGCTATAAGAAATACTTTGTAATTCTCTGAAGCTACTGCTAATTTATTCTTCTAGGCCCTTTGCCATCCTCATCCCTCTGTCTGCAATGCCAGTTCTGTTCTCACTTAGTTTGCCTGTTGAGCATCTACATGAATGACTCACTTAACAATTAAGCCTTATATTTCTTATTCTGCCTTCACTCCAGGAACTTTATTTTCTATTCCATTTCAGCTCCCTCTCTCAGGGCTACACTTTTACTGACCAGAAAAACCTGACCTCTGACATCTTAAACCCCAGTACCACAAAGAGGCAGA